TTTAAACAACATATGTATAGTTCAGAAGGAAACACAAAAACTTCAATATAAGTACAAGATATAGAAGTAATAACAATATACCATGATAAAATCTCAAAATGGAATCAAGTAGAGTACCAAAATGTCAACAGAAAGAGTCAGTCTTATCATAACACAAATATATATACATGGAGGGATTTTCCAAAAAACAAAACATTCAAAATAGATTCTACATTCCTGCTTTCATCTTCTCATTTGTCCGTTTTCAGAATCCTATCAGCAGTGAAGCAGCAGAGAAATACGAAGCGTTGAATATGTTCATTTGATGCACCGCAAATTGATCACCAAATCACAGGTGATTCAGAATGGATTCTGATTTCGGAAAAACAGTTCTAGAATTTTAGATACGCGCCTTGCCCAGTTGATCCAAATGGAAAGCAATTTATCTGGGTAAGAAACGGTTCTGTTATTCATCAAAAAATATAGATAATTACCTAAACAATATTGCGCTGATTTCCGTCAAAAATCACGCAATGTGTTTCCGATTCTGGAAGAATGCTTCGGTTTAGGTCCAAAATTACACACTTCCAGTCCGGATGCACGTTTTACTTATCAAGATATCAAATCCGATTTGGCTCTAGCCATGATAAGGTATCAACTTGAACAACATAATACAGTGTAGTAGGAAACATAGAAACTCCAGTAAGGGTACAAAAAGCAGAAATTATAAGAAAATACAAATATTAACATCACAAAATGGGATTAAATAGAGTACCAAAGTGCAGCACAGAAAGAGTCAGTAAGAACATGTTACAAATATATACATGGAGGGATTTTCCTAAAACAAAGCCTTCAAAAAAGGTTCTACAACTGGCACAAAAACAACATACGTGTGCCGAAAGGAAAGCAAGCAAATGGGAGAGCTAGCAAATGAATGAGTAGTATTAATATGTACATATGTATACATAGGAAAATGAATGAGTCACCTAAATATTTAAGAGACTAACATTGAAGCGAATGTGTTGAATATGGACGCAGGCATTAAGCAATGCTCAGTCATAACTGCTCGTAAAAACCCGACAATAATCATATCGAACGGTAATCTAAAGGCCTAATCAACTCAAATATGAAAAAAGTGAAATGTTTGTGGAGGTACTACAAATCATTTTCGATTATGATGTGAATCACCGGAAGTTGTAAATAAGGAGTGTGACGCCGAAATTCACAGTAGAACTACACACACTTGGTCTGAACCATTTTACCATGTTTCGAGCACTTAGCACAACGAATTATGCATGAATTAGGAAAACAAAATTAGCCGCACGATGAACATTTGTCTTCTGCTTTGCAACAAATTGTTTTCCATGTTCTGAAGAAAATGAGGCTGATCTGTCAATATGACCCTAAGTGGAAATCAAATTTGGGCAACTGAGTAGTGTAGTGGTGTTAGGATATACATCCAATATCCTAAGATAAATGTTTTTAAGTCTAATTCTATTGATCAATTCCTACTGGCCGAAATTATGGTCCTTCTAACTGTCAGTATAACATACTTCACTAGTGGTTCCTATTCGACTTAACTTTATAAATACGCATTATCTGTGATGTTTCATAACCTGGACTCGGAGCTCCTACTTTCTTGATGCTTGTATAATACAGATTCTACTTCACACCAAGACTTCTTTTACTCAAGGGGGTTTGGGACGCTCGAATTAGAGTAGCCTATCGTGTCTCCGGATCCTCAATCCTCGCTCTCGTTTTCTTACTAAGGTTAATTCGTAATAGTTCAAGCATGCCAAATTGACCTGTTTACATGCATACGTAACAAGTGGGATACTTCATATCCTGGCAGCCCGTCCATTGTACTGCCTCCTAAATAAAACTTGCTCTACTGGCTTCATGAAAAAAAATTTCAGCATTTTTGAGCTCGTTTAAAATTCCCTGCAGCTGTTCGATCCCGTATCTGAACATGAAGTTTTGTCACCAAAATTACATTTGGTGGCCTATTTCCCAATTCGGGAATGAATTCTCTAACTCCTTGATTTTTCTGACTAACCATTTTAGGGAGTTCTTTCCTTTCATTTCATGTGAAGTTTGAACACAGCTTGATTTCAAAGTATTTCTTCAGTGGAGTAATAGGAGTGTGATATATATATATATATATATATATATATATATATGGGGAATTAACATTTCCCCAAGTCATTAACATCCAAACACCCTGCTTTCCTACCTGTCAATCGCCTTAATCATGAATTTTTAGCACTATTTTTCCCCTTTTCCTTTTTTTGTTGCCTATTCTTCCTATCTCCAAACTACCTGTTAACTGAACCATATCTTAGAGTTTATACCTTAGTTACCTTTATATTAGTATGAGATGTTACGTGGATATTTAGTCCATGGAAAGCTAGAGAACGTGTATTCTGGCAAGGTGTACAAAATATAGAGCCCAGTCTGAAAAAAGCATTATTTAAAATCCATCACTAAATGTGGGATAATGTGGTGGTGGTGTTTGGTTCTCTGAGCTGGATGTTTTGGTTGTGGAGCTCTCCATCTGAAGTTAGTGCTGGTGACGTTGTTCAGAAGAACAGTGAGAGTGATAACCTCAATCTACCCATGTCTGTGGGGAAGAACAATTTATTTGCTTAAGGCTCCTTAAGGTATAGCGGGATGTAACTAACCAATGATATTGATGTTACTTTTACTAGTAAACCACGTCTATGACTCATGTTTCCAACCTTGAACTGGTTTCACTTCCTACCTGGAAATCTTGTTACAAGCAGATTTGGACAATTATGGTGAAGAAGAGCTCAGTCGTGACTTCTTGAGCTACAGCGTTAGAAAGAAAAAGAATAAGTGAAATATCACAGAAGCATTAAATGACTGTGCCTTCATTATTTTATTCTGTAAATCAGTTTTCTTTCTAACAATTTAGTTCTTCCTTATTTCCTTCACTCATACGATTAATTGCCCATTCATTATCTTACTAACGACTTGTCTTCATTACCTTAGATAGGTGCAGGCGTAAAGTTGGTATTCTAATACAGAAAAAGAAGGGCCTGAGTAATAATAACTTTGCTTTATCCATAAATGTTATCCGCTGAGTCATGACCTGGATTTAAACAAGCATGTTTTCTGTTCTGCTCCTTATCCCGCTCCCTTCATTTCACTTTTTCGGCACCTTATTCTAACTATAAATATAAGTCTAGATAATAGCGTAAGACTTGATTGCTCTACTCAGGAACCTGTCAAATTTTCATCAGGCGAATATCAACTAGAAGATCGATACCAATTTACTTTTTCACTTGTTGTTATATACAGGTATGGATTCAACCGGTATTGATTCTCAGCCAGCACTTGTTCGTCACAATGCAAAAGAAATAACTATCGTGTTGTACATTCTGAGGTCCGAAAAACTATTTATACTTTTCTGTGAAAAATATTAGCGTCCTATAAAAAACCAGTGTACTTGGGTGATATTTATCTAACTGAACAATATTCACAGTAAATATGTCAGCAACTTCAACATTTTGATGTTGCCTGTAAGTTGGTATTCCTGTTGTACCATGTTATCTGAGAATAAATTATTATTATTGTGATTATAAATAAAGTAAGCGAGTCTCAATTTCGGAAATTTCACAATGAACCAACTTAGGTCCACCTCTCTTCCTGATGTTCATTAATTACTTGTAACACAAAGTTAGCTCGGTGGCACTTATCTACGCAGACTTTGTTAGGTTCTGGAAGCGAAGAAGATTCAACTGAGCTTCTAAAGGGCCATACATCTATTGTGGAATGGACATCGAAAAACGGTTTCACACTCAACTAGCCGAAATGTTACGCTATAAACATTGCACCATACGTGACACAAACAAACTACCTCTTGGGTGAAAGCCAACTCCTTAATGTCCAAAGAAAGCCTTGACTCCAGTTCGAAGTACACAAGGGATGCAGCCAACTCAAATGCAAACCTTCACTTTATGCACAGACAACTTGGTGAACTGACCTCATAATTGTTCCTACCACTGTTTAGAGCATGAGCAAATACACGTCCTAAGTTTCACGACGTCATCGTACCCCCTTTCTGTAAAAGGGACTTAAATAACCTGGATAGAATGCAGAGACTTGCAACGAAATGGGTTATATGGTTGAAAATTTAAGCTTACGAAGACAGACTCCAGCTTTTGTGATTATTCTCCCTGAGTCGCAGGAGAATAAGAGGTATTATTATTGTGGCGTACAACCCTACTACCCCGAAACAAACGTACTCATTCAAATCACGGGACATACAAACCTACAACCAGGTACCAACTAACTAGAATTAGACAGTCGAGTGGCTAGAACCCCATCCAATGGAAACTACTAAACACCCGGAACCGTACCGAACGGACAAGAATCGAGCGCAAAGATATCATTTGGTTTACGCCAGCTCGTGAAGAAGATATTGGATGTGCAGTCTTCCAAGTATTAGGGCAACACTCTTTTTGTTTGATAATGAAGCACAATAGTGTTCACCATGCAGCAAGATGGGTAAAACAGGTGTTTATGGGTTTTATGATGAAAACACCTGAAGTACTCGCACGAAAGTTGCATCCTTCGAGATACCTCATGTATGGCGGTTAAAAATTGGCTTCTGATTTTGAAGCCTGAGTGATTTCTGATTGTCCTTTATTACTATTTTTGATAAAAGTGTGTGCATATGCGATTGCTGGATAGTTTGCAGGTCTCTTATTTTGCTCTTCTATTTCCTGATACACCCCACCCAATCCACTTTGCATGCTCCTCTAATAAATAAGATGCCTTCGAGCTAGACGCTAACCGCAGCAATAATATGTCTTCTTATTTAATCAGTAAATATAATAATAACTTTTAAAATAGCGTTTTATAACCGACTAGAAGACACGGTATTTCCTGAAGTTTTATTTTATTTTTTCTGCGAAGGAAGTTAAAAGTTTGGTGTTTTTATCAACCGCACATAGTTGCACACTTTCAAGTACTTCGTTACTATTAGGAGCGGGTATTTCGAGGTCAGTGGCTTCAGATTATTTCGAGATGAGTAGTTTCCCGTCACTCGAAAACCGATCACTCAAAAGGAAAGAACACTGTCCTCCGGATGTTTATTGTCAGAGAAATGAGCAGAAAGAAGATTTGATGTCTGAAGATTTCGTCAAAGATGGTTTCAAATACACGAAACCAGTACGTGATGAATACGAATCATGCAAAGAAGAAAGTCGTTTTCTTAATTCAGACTCTGTTTGGAACTTTTATTACAACATTATGTTAAAAAAGTATGAATGTTCAAACTTTCAAGACTTTAAAAAGCGTCAAACCACTAATATTCGCGATACTGTTATTCCAGCGATTGATATGTACAAAGATCAGGTTTGTGATTGGTTTAGAGAGCTCTCTAGCAACGTCCCACTTCAAAACCTTGGGCGTCGTGTACCTTTCTTCAAGGATAAGGAGGAAATTTTACATGAATTGCTTTCGAATAAAGTTCCCATTACTCGGGCATTATGGTTTATTAATATTAGCGTCATTCAGTCAACAGCAGTTGCTGAAACTGCAAAGAAAAAGCCAAGAGCACCTCAGGATCCTACCGCTGACTGGTCGTCTACACTCTGTCGCTTGCTTTCGCGTGCTTTGGAGTCGATTTGTACATCAGTTAAGCATAATGAGCTCATATCACTATTCAATGATTGGGATTACCTGTATTCTTTGCTTATAGCTATGTATGATTCAGATATGGCAGACCATTGGGAAGTTATACTTTGGTTAATTAAAGTTGCTGAAGGTGTTTATGAACAGATTCGCCAACAATCGTTACCATCAACAGTTACTTCATCACCTAATTGTTCAGCAACTAATAGCAAATGTGTATCTGATTTCCCTCTAAAGTTCATTTTGCACTACCTCATTAAGTTTGGACGTCGGTTTACTGAAAGTGAATTGTTAATCCGAAGATTACTTTATTGGTGTTGTACTACGTTTGCAGATGTCGTATTTTCTTGTACTGGATCTAAATATGCTTCTTCAATGGGTACTTTACAAGGCATTTTAAATGAATATAAGGATTTATGTCGATGTCCTCTTCATCGAAATATTTCTGTATCATTGAGTAGCCTCATTATCTTTATTGTCTTAAGTTGTCCTTCAGCTGCAGTATGGAATCCATTACCTTTTGATACTGAACACACTTATTTTAAAGGATCACCTCTTGATCATATTCCACACTCATTGGTTGCACTTCCTCTACCACGTGGAGAAGAATCAGTATCGATACGAAAATGTTTGGCTGAAGCTGAGGAGAATATAATAAGACGTAGTCAGTTTGTTGAATCTGGTTGGCTAATTGAACCATGTTCGGGAAATAATGGTGAAAATGTAAGTACTTCTAATTTTATGTTGATTGAAGCGAATATATGAAGCAATAAAATTCGTGTTATCGATTATCAGGTGTTAATGTACACTTTTTAAATTCATGCTTACGATATTATGTTTTATTGTTACTTCTACGTTGCATACAGTAAAACTATATGACACAAACACAGTTCATATGACATTGTGCTCAAGGTATATGTATATAACCATCCCTGTTACCCTAACGAAGTCCTAGGTTTTATTAGCAATAACTTAGGAATTAGAGCGATGTTGATTCCCATTTAAAAAAGAAACAACAAAAATGACTTATGGTTAGGAAAAGACGTTTTATCAAACAGCAACGTGTAAGATGAAGATGATACCCAACATGCAGCCAGACACACGTGAATTTGCTCAAGTTCTCATACCATATTAACACAGCGGAGAAAAGAATATTAGACAAAGAATAAAAAGGATGACATAAAATCAAATAGTTTAATTGCATTTGCACAATGCCTAATATTTTTCATCGTTGTCACTTAGCGTAACGAAAAAATCAATATCTGTCTAGATAACTAAAGTAAGCTGAACTCTGTAATTCAGACTGAAGTTGACTGTCTCACCTACTTTAGTGTTTTTAAATTCAATTTGAAATATTCTATTGTTGATACTTTTGATTGAATAGACGTCGGAATAAACTCCTTATTGTTTTGCACTACGATAAACACTGATCGTAAAGACCCATTTACTAGGACAAGCAATGGTATTTTATTGTCAATCAAAATGTGTGATTCCACAAGATTATCTATGTTTTACTTATAAATTCAAAGGTACACTTTGAAAAATGTAGTCTTATGAAAAAAACCAGGAAAAGTTATATAGGCGTTGCATAGAAAGGTGAAAAATGATGTTTAGTGAGGAAAGGAAACAACAGACATTCTTCCTGTGACAGCTGTATTTTATGTTAATGTATTGTCGTAAATTGACTTGTTGCATAGTCTGCTCACCTGTACATGATGCCGCACACCAAATGCCATTCGTGTATCATTACAGAGATTTTTTTCTCCACACAAAACTAGTCGGTCATAATCAACGTAAGACCTGGTATAAATTTGTGTTTGTCCACGTTCGCGTTCTACATCACAACTCCGATGAGCGAGTGACGAAGATGTTTAAGAATAATGGTAATCCGACTGAGATACTAGCTAGAGTTTGGGAGCTAGACGTATTCTCATCTGTCTGGTCTCTATCTCTGACCGTTCCAGTTTATAAGATAGGGCTAAAATACTCGTGGTAACCATAGAGGAGTTAGTTGAACTTATATAGTGTCCAAAATAACAGACTGTTATTTTCCAAATCTTTAGCAAAACTCAGAGACTATAGGTCGAGTCATAGCTTATAAAGAACTGTCACCAGGATTATCAACTTCATGTAGAGTCCATTAGGACTTCGGTTGGCATGTTATCGATGTATTTACTTCTTATCCGCTTGGTTTTTAATCCCGATATTACTTGATATCTACATTTCCACTCTTTTTTTGTACCATGTTCTCAGTGCTTATTCTTTGTCATTGACATTCCTACTGTATGTTTTAGGTTCTATTTGTTGTACATCTTGTTAATTTCATTTCAACATGTTAATGTAGTTTAGCACCCTGAACCAACTCACATCTGTTCCAGGTTATACACTGACAGTAACTAACTGACATCCACGCGGCGAATTAGAATTAAGAAACTAAATAGCAAAGGTTTTAAGTTAATCATATTACTAACAATAACAGTAAAGACTTGATATTAGAGAAAATGGCTTGAAAATATTTTTTCAAGATATATTTACCTATTTATTTCATAAAATATTTTTTGGTCGTGATTAACAGTGTATTAGTATTGTATTCTAATAATTATATCGTGGGACAATCGAGTAAGCAACGCTGTTATTAGGAAACGGGTACTAGGTAAGAATGGCAGATGAATAGATGAAGTGGTGAAACTTCATCAGTTGAGGTGGTTGGAACATGTGTTGCGAATGCCCGACCACCGACTGCCTCGTCGAGCTTTGTTTTGTGGTGTAAGAATAGGTTGGAAAAAAGTTAGGAGCGGCCAAACCAAAACATGGCAGAAATCCATGAAGTCATTGACGAGTGGACTTAGCCATGTCGATAATTGTCGACTACCTGGTTGGGGTCCGCGAGATGATAATAATCGATGGTTAGAGACCTTGAATGACATGGCTCAAAATCGTTCGCAATGGCGACGGTGCATTTATTCTTTGTATTCTCTCAAATCCTAATCTTCTGGGTTGTTCAACAACTCTAGTTTTGACTTTCTAAACTTTTCTCACTGAATCATACTTCTTGAATAATATCTTCTAATTCTAACCTCTCCGATTACTTCTAATACCTTTACTACCTCTTCTACTATTGGATTTGAATTGACAATTACATCTCTGTGCTGATGTGGTATGGCGACATGAACTGATGTACTTACGTACGAAGTTCTACGTTGCATCTGACTGACTGATTCTAATAATAGTCAGAACGATAATTATGGGTAAAGGATACTGTAGTTATTTCTTATTCATTCATGTTTATTTTGTTACCTTTTATCTTTTACTGATTTCATGTACCATTGAGAAGTGTAATTTAGATGTATATGTTATTGTATGAGATCTTAAGTTCTATCAATAATGATTGTCTTTTGCAATTTACCAGTCAGTTATAAGCAGGATACAACTTGGCACATATATGCATTGATGCAAGTTATCACACTACATCACAATATATATGAAAATGAAATTAGCAAAATGTTTATTGAAATATAATTGATAGTAGTAGTGTGGTGCGAGCTACTTATAAGTAGTATATGACGTGAGTGTCAACGTAATATCTGGCAGCATAGTATGGAGGAAGATCAAGAAAGGAAGAGTTAGAACACAATGGAATTCGTATGAAACGCATGAATGGTGACAATGGATTGATGTTTTGCAACAGGAACAGTCCAGTTCGATATGATGAACTGATATTATTACACAGTGAGCACGAGATCTCTCCGATACCAGAACAAACGGGGAAGTACACAAACAGGATCTTCGCGCGCGCGAAGATCCAGAAAGTGTACAACGGCATGTTGTCTGGTATCGGAGAGATCACGTGCTCACTGTGTAAAAATATCAGTTTCATCATATCCGAACTGGACTGTTCCTGTTGCAAAACATCAATCCATTGTCACCGTTCATGCGGTTTCCATACGAATTCCAT